ATCATTGGAAAATTACTATTATACGATAATGACTTTAGATTCTTATTCTGCCTACGCAAAGATGAAAATTATATTTTAATGTGGTTATTAAATTTAAATAATTTGTGCAGTTCATCATAAATAGTTGTTTCGAGCAGTTAGACAAGAAATGCGTTTGCTTTAACTCGGACTTTCTTTTAGGTTAAAAAATAACAAAGCCAGTGTCTCCTTTAACATATCTGTTACGAACCTGATAACGGTCTCCATGTCCTGCTTGAATGATGTCCCTAAGACCAACTTTGGACTCATTGCAACGCCCGCAACGAGCATCAGTCATCTGTCACAGCGGTGATGGAGCAAAGCATAAGCAAAACACACGAGATTAACAAATGGCCATGGAACCTAAATGCTTTAGCAGACTATATCTGTTTCTGAAAATAGGTGGTCGGAAAGTCACCTGCATACGGACAGATTCTTCGGGCTCATTGGTCTTTGTTTCCTCTGCAGTCGACCCTTCCTGAAGCTTTAACAAATTAGACCAACTTCCCAACACACTACAAAGTACCAAAAACCAGAAGAAAACAAACCACAGGCACAACAGAGAAGTAGAAACACTATTTCATTACCTTTAACTCAGTCGGTGACATGGCCAGTATTTTGGAAGGTTCCAACTCTCCATTCAGAAGACGATGAGCAAGGCGCTCGTTATTCTGTTAAAAGGGTAGACAGACCATCTTTTAAAGGAAAAATAATGAAAACCGATACAATTCAAACAATCATTTTAGAAGAGCACGGTACTTCAGTAACATCAAAACTATTTCTGCTCTATGCACTTCGAAAATTTTTTACTCATGGAATTGAAACATAACGAATAAAAGGATGCATGTAAAAGATGATAGATACACTGACCTTGAGATTGAACACAAGTTGTCTTAACTTCTGGTTGTACTTATCAGCAGACAGGGTCTCATGTGTGACCCGCTCAAGATCACTGACAGCAGGAACAGCAGCATCTGGCCAGGGGAATGACTTGCTATCCTGCACAATACAAACAGGGCAGAATCAAGACCATCGAAATTTCAGAACACTCATGTTTCAACCAGTAAATCACCACATCAGGAACATAGAAACTCAACCTATATTTCAAGAGAAAACACCATATGAAAAATAACAAGCACACCTTCTGGTTTTTCTGTTGAGCATCATCAATTGCAGTCAACTGGGATTTGTCCTCCTTTTCATTATTCTGCCCATTTGAACCAGGTTTCTCTTTAACACAGTCATCTGTACCAACACTAGTGGAGGAGCTGCAAGCATACTGAACACTCTGTAGCAGCTTCTCCAAACACCTGTCACGGTGGGTGTCTCCGGTCAATGCATTAAACTTCACCAAGATAGCATAGAATTCAGAATTGCTTGTGCAACTTCCTGGTGTCTCGGCTCTCAGACCATCCCTTGCAGAAGCTGTCTCTTCCTCCCTGTAAACATCAAGAGGTGAAATGTTCTTTCTCCGGAGACTTCTTTTAACCTTTGACTGGTCTTCAGGCTCACCAGAAGGTGCAGCACCAGCATCTTCAACCTCAATGTCCGGAAGATTTACTAGACGTGAGAGAGTCTTTTGAACAAGAATATCAATCTCATGCTGCTTATCATCTTCATAATCCTTATCAGTTAGCTTCCACAGCTTTTTGTTATCCGTGTCATAAACTTTCTGTACAATGAAACCAGGATCCTGCTTCCGATTAGGAATCTGCTTGTGAACAGGAATAAAATGCACAACACACTTGTGCATTACAGACTCTGCAGGAACCTCGTCATGATGGAAACTATAAAACAGCTCCCGGGTATCAGATGATATCCAGTTTCCGCCTCCTCTTTTCTCAGCCTCATCTGGACGATAAAACCATTGCCCAGTGACCATCATATTGCCATCTTTTGTCTGAGTGATGTCCTGTTAACAGCACACCAACTTCATTGAAGAAAGGAGGAAAGATATACAGGGAGAATAATAAGAGAAAATTGGGTAGAGGTAGAATGAACATAAGAGAACCAAAAAACTTGTATGCCAGTATACAATCTTCCACAAATGAAGACCAAGTAAACAAGGAACCTGTGAAGATTTTGAACTTTAAATAAGGAGAATAGTCCTACAAAATCATAATGAAGAATCTGAAGTAAAGATTAATTTATGGAAAGAGATAGCATCAAATAACGCCAAAATTGTGGAGAAGGAGAAAATCAGTTAAAACTAATGATCTGAAAAAATAATCTTAGTACAATATTTCTTTCAATTGCAGCTGTCAGTGAGCAAGAAAAGATAGGAAAAAAGTGCATATCAGATTCCTTAATCGTTCAAGGATATGCAGTTCAGCCACCAGTACTATGACAATTCACAATCATAAGTACAATAACACAAATTGTGAAATCTGAAAACAAAGAGATGTTGTGAAATTAAAACATAGCACCATGGATGGATCTGTGTTCTTCATGTGCTCAGCCTCAGAATCACCTCGAGCAGCATAACTAGCAACATCTACTAGCCACACAAACTTCATGTTCAAAAAATGTGATCTAACATGGACTGCCTAGAAAAGACATGCCAAGATGGAAATGGTGTAGTCCACACTCCAATCCCCATGAAAAGAAAACTTTGTATAATCACTTACCTTGATGATTGCAACGTAAGGTTTCTGGTTCTGTTCCTCGGGAGTCAATAGTACAGGATCCTCCTACAAACAACCAAAGCAAAACCAGGTTAAGTGATAAATGAGTGAGTGATCAGAAAGGACAAGAAACCCAGAAAATACCAATACAGCAAAACGTACAAAGTTGCATCCATCTCAAACTTGATGCACTAACCACCTAGGCTAGCCAGCAAAACAGCAACGAGAACTTGGCTACTAGATGCGCATGCGCAAGTTGTAACCATGACCAGAAACTAAAAGCTCCAAGCCTTATTCAAACCTTCAATAGCCAAGTTAAAGTTGTGAAAATTAAATTATGTACTAGACTTCTAGCACTAGCAAAACCATACATATCATCAACCATCGATCCAAAGGGGGCTTCAAACTCACAGCAAACGCAGAAGCAAACCTAGTTTATGGTTATACAGGGTAACAACTTGAGCCTTGAGATGTACCAATCCAAAAATATAATGCGAAATCTCATATCTCTAAATTCGACCTACGAAGAAAATTCTGAAAGCAGCGAAGGAAATGGAACGGAAAATAAGCTACTCACCAGCTCATATTGATTGCCGTCGAATTCAAAGCCCTTGTAGTGAGTCCGGCGGTTTTTCCCCTTCCCCGTGACCTTCACAGGTTCACCTACAGGCTTCGCATCCTCCTGGACTTCTTCTTCTTCCTCGTCGGGCTCTTCTTCTTCGACCTCTTCCTCCCTCCCTTTTTTCCTCCGCTTCCCTTTCTCTTCTACCGCCTCATCTTCCTCTTCGTCAGCGAGGCGGATTCTCTTCAGCCGCCGGCCGGAGCCCTCCGATTTGGCAGACGAACGAGTCCGGTGCCGTGACGGAGTGTCCTCGTCTTCGTCGCTCGTAGATACCTGAGCGAACCTTCGATTCCTCATTTCTTTCTAGCGGAAGTAGGTGGTTGAATCATTATATATCATTAAAAGCTGCATACTGATTTCGACTAATATATGAGGGTTTCCTGTGAGATTGTCGGTAAGGTTTCACAAACACTGCTCATTTCTAATATTTTAGTTTTTTTTCCCCAACTGGCTGCGGAGATAACGAGGTTGACCAAGCAGGGTGGCGGGATTGGAGAGGACGCCAGGCACAGTAGTGAGATTGCAATGACACCTATAGTAAGATTGCGAGATCGAAATACACGATGAGTACTAGGGAGTCGAAAAAAGAAAAGAAAAAGAAGCTCATGTTAGAAAAAAAATCTAGCATGGTAACAACAGTCGAGCGACGAGAAAGAAAATAAAGGAGGATAATTACTACAAAGTAGTTAAAACAATGTGTAAACTAAAACTTTTGCATACAAGTTCCTAATAGTCAATAGCAACCGAACGAATTTACAATTGAATGCCTAATTCGATCAATTTACATCCTAGCTATCTACGAATTAAGTTTGCGGCCTTTGTGGCCGATGAACATTCAATCTTCTCACATGCCCAAGCTCATGTTATTGTCAAACGTATAACAATTAATTATTTGGAGCTGATCTACAACCAGATTGAAACCATAAATTCGACCCCAAAATCATGACGATGAGGAGTGGCCAATCTGGCACAGCACAGAAGTTTCAAACCCGCAATAAATTTAAAACCATTTTCAAATAATAATTCATAGTGTATAAAACAAAAGGCAAAAAGCCAAAATTCCAAAATTCCGATTTGACTTGTTTTGTTTTAGTAAACTACTATCGTAACTTAACTATTACAGATTTGCAAGCAAAAGAGTCGGTGGATAAACCCAAATAATTTATTACACGAAACACACACGCCACCACCCTTTTCCCTTTATATTATTATTTTTTTCAGTTTCATAATCTTCTTCAGTGCGAATTCACAAAGCATTGACTTTCTTAATTAAAGTAATATATAATTATAAAATAAATTATAATAAAATACCTCAGCTGGGGTTTCCACGACTTCCGCCGCACCAGCAGCTGGCTCCTCCCCTGACCCCTCCACCAAAATTGAATTAAACCAAATTCCCGAAAATTTATAATATTATTAGAATGTTAATCAGATTTCTAAAATAAATAAATAAAAGAAGGCAGAAGATGCTGTTGTATTAAGTATTAACTCTATGAATAATGACTCCCCAGATATTAATAATAAAATAATAATACAAGCTAGCTATCTAAGCTAGATGGCATATAATTAACTAATCAACAAATTTTGCTACATACAGCAGTACAAGAGATTTACCCTATCCGGTAACAAAATTACAGTACAAGAAGAGATGTAAGTGAAAAAAAGAGTAACTAAAAAACAGGGAAACAGTATTTCCCCCTGCTGGAAATTTGACCGAACAAAATGGCGGATGATGATCAATTGTGAAGCGGGTTCGGGCCCGCCGGCACTGTTCTATATGAAGCTCCGTACACCCTGGCCGGGCCGCCCGCCTCGCCGGCGCGATCGCGTGCTCTTGATCCGCGCGGCGCTTCCGCCGGCGGCGGCGGGAAGTCGTATTTAGTAGCGCTCCACGACGGAGAAGAAGAAGACATTTGACGATCTGTTTGCTTGATTTCATCACTGTTAACATCTCTGCTGCTGGAGCGGAGGTGGCGGCGGCTGGTACAGCTGGAGAGGTCCGGCGGCAGGATTATGAGCAGTAGCAGAATCAACGGCAGCCGCGGCGGCGGATTTGTAATTCTCATGGCTGATTTTTTTTTTTTTTCCCCCCGGCAGAGGAAATTTTGGGAGAGAGCAGAAAACAGAATTAGAAGCGGGGAGAGAGGGCAGGGGCACAGGTGGTGTTTGGAGTTTGGAGGGCCTCTCTCTCTTTGGTTTGTTGTCTCTTTATTGATGGGATCAAAATGTGGAAGCCTTTTCTCTTTTGTGTCTGGATTTGTCGACAATGCCCTCGGGGTTTGGTCATATTTGCAGGTGTGGGACTATGCATCACCAAACTGTACACATGATGATTCTGCTATCATATTGATGAGGTAAGCATTGGTATCACCTTTTTTTTCTTCGACGGAAGAATCAGCTTCATTCGAAACAACCCAAATGAAGTTTACATTAGAAGTACTTAGCAGTGTGGCTAAGAAAGATCCAATTATTCGAAATAGATGATCTAGCTAACCATAATCGTCATCAAGTCTGTTCGAGCAATGAGACATTGAGAGATTGTTTTCCCTATTAGTCTCACGGACCATCAAGTCAATCCGAGCCCAAATCGTCATGGAGGCGAGGAAGGATTTACCTCATGAAGAACTTGAAAAATCCGACCAGACAACACACAAAGGGACTATAACTTTGAGCTGATTTGAGAGCTCCCCAACCGCCAAGTGTCGGTACTTGCTTGACACATTTGAGTAGAGTGGTCCTCAGCAAATCTCAGGCGACGGATTTACAAACGTTGTTATAATTTTATTGTCATGTAGAGTGATTTTGTTGGATCGATATTATATCGTCACATAATCTCGACTATTAGTTTGCATACGAAGTTACACTCAATTATTTATGTCCAACTATTGACAAATTGTCAAAATACATACACCCATCGACTAAACAATCACAAACCATGCAATACCGTATTTCTCACGGGGCAGGTATACACTTGCCTAACTAAATACGAGGGAGTGCCAAACAAGCTGCCTAACTTGGCTTCTTGAGCGAGAAAATAAAAGAATCCAGGGAGAGAGAGAGAGGCCATGCTGCTGCTTATTGGCTATTGCTCATAAGCTGATGAATTGTCACATTGGGAAAAGTAGGGCAACCTTTTTCCTATATATGCTGCGGAAAACCACGCACACAAATATAAAGACGGTCAAGATAATTAAATAAAAAGCCATCATCGATACGATATGATATGATGGTAACTCGCTCTCCTCACCAGTTGTCAATTTTCTGGTGGGCAATTTTGTTAGTTAGTTGCACTTTTTGACGATCCTTTTTGAAGAAAGTAAGAGCCTCTCCTCTCCTCTCCTCTCTCTCCTCGCCTTGTTTTTTATGCTTCGATTTTCTCAACTTTCTGATGCTCTTGTCCTTGCAGTAAAAAGCCCCAACAGAAGAAGCATCAAATCAATGAATTACGGGCGAAGCATCCATTCCATAACAGCAGCTGGGAATTGACTTTTTGGGGCTTCTGTTACTTCAATTCTCTGACTCTCCAAGGGTTGCAAGATGATGACAGTAGTAAAGGTAAATTTTTAGTATAAATTACTTCCAAATGTGTAGGGTTAGAAAGATCCACCACGAAAAAAGTTCACGATTCCAACTTACATTCTTATTTAATAAGATTTTGCGAGCTTGTGAGAAATGACGGTGTCATCCGTACAAAACAAAAGTTGCAAACAATGAATCATGAGAAAATATAAGTGCTAGCGAAGGAGCGAGCTCTGCACAAGACTTGTTTGTGGGAAGTTGTGAACATATAACATCTGATGGTACCTCACGATCAATAAGATTTAATGCTAGCTTGAGCAAACTACCATAAACCACTAATATGTAGTAGTTTCAACGCATAATTATTAACTTCCGTTTATCTGATAGTAAAAGACTACAATATATGGTTTCATAAACCGTTACCACCAAAGGCAATCGTTCGATCGAACGGAGGCCTAACAACTCCGGCATCTACAAGCTTGTAACCCTTGCTATTCGAATAAGGTTGACACGATGGAGGATTGTGATCAATCTCTTGGTTTTCACCTATAAGAGTGACTTGCCTACCATAACAATTGTCGTATAGTTTTCCAGTAGGCAGGTGTCCTGCGCCCATTGGAGGGGGACTAGTGCCAGGTGGACTATAAACTTCTCCTCCCCATTCCACGTAGTTTGCAGAATCAGCCAGCCCAGTGAATATCCTTTGTGGCCAAAATCCAATTGGTACATCTTTTCCAATCGCTAAAAACCAGTCCCCATTTGTAGCACGCTTCAGAAAAAGAAAAGAAAGAATGAATAGACAAATCTAGTCATCAAACAAGTGATTTGAAGAAATGTACAACTATAAATGTTCATTTTTTGATTAGTTGGTCTTTTACCTTGCGCACAAATAAGTTGGTTTCGTAGGTGGGTCCTCCGATTTTAGAGTATGGTTTGAGAAGTAGATCCACAGGTACGTTAGGACTCAAGATTACGAAGCCAGGGCAGAAGGTGTTGTAACAGTGTGAGTTCTTGGTCTGAATAATATAAGAAACAACTCATTTAGCACTACAATACAACTCAATTATGTACATTGTTATGGTCATGGTATATGAAAATAAAACGTAGTATGCATGAAGCGTTATCATAAACAATATCGAAACTTACGATAGTGTATATGAAGAGCCGAGTTTCTTTATCGGGGTATAAACTGGGATTAACCTACACATCCAAGAATTTGATTCATAAGTTATGTGTTACCTATATGTATTCTCATAGGTTAAATACATCTACAAGATGTCGATATATACTTACCGCCCATCCAACGGAAATACTATCAGGACCATTTTGAAATTTAATATGAGCGGAACTGTACTGTGTACCCTGAACTGCAGGATGATACACCGAAACTGTCATTCCAGCTCCATATAACTTATTTTGCCTGGTTGTTCTCAGCACTGCAACCTACAAATTAAACACATAATTCTCTTAAACTTTATAATTAATTGTGCTGAACTTGTAACCTTTATGTATTTGTACAGGCCCCATAATCTATGAAACTTACTTCAACACCAGTATTTATATTGAGGGAATTATTGTACGCTATTTCACCAGCAATATTTGCTCCGATGAGGTCTTGTTTTGTGATCCTTTTAATTGGAACTGTGTTAGGCGGACATCCTTTCCCATTTAGCCAAATCTTTGATGGATCAAAACCAAATGAATCACCATTCGTCCCTTGCTCTAACCGAAAATCAAAAGAGCTCATCTGCTTGAAGGTCAAATGAGTAATTGTCAATAAATGGTTTATTGGAAGAGATATATAAATCAAATCTTAATATCACATATCCATAGAGTTTTTGCACCAGTATTTGTAGATTAGTAGATCACATTCCGTTTGACATTGAAATTTAGATTTCCGATTGTGAGACTCTCGCCAGTTGTCATGATAAGTATACAATTTGTCTCTTTTATCTTTATATAAAGAACTCAAAGAAATAACAAGATAGCATTAATGCATATAACTTGATCATACCTCAAAATCATTCTTACGATTCTTCAACAGAGGATGATCGAAAGCCGGTTGTAAATGAAAGTCTATGCAGTCATATGAATCGCCATACGTCGTCTGATCAAATAAAATAAAAATAAAAATAATTGTAATTGCACAAATTTTTTCATCAAGTAATGAGAAACAATCTACTGCAAACCTCATACTTGCAAAACCTACAGAACTCATATTTTATCACCCTAGTAAGATTAATGGTGGGAAGATTCTTACCAAGAGTAGTAAGGCACAAAATTTTATAGGTTTTGCAAATTTGTGTTTTGCATCGAAACCCATAGCACGAAAGAATTTTGCCTTTAACTACTTATATTACAATGTATCGGTAATTTTTACACACCAATTTTAGCATTCGATCAAGTAGATTCTTGCAATTGTCATAATAAAGTACTCTGTTTACCTGAATAGTTGTGACAACAGGCTTGTTCAAGAGGTTTAACTGTCTTTCCAACTCTTGATCTTCTTCTACCGATATCTTGTAGCATGTAATTACATGATGCTCTAACACCATAAACCATCCCAGCACCAAAATTTTCAAAGCATTTTTTGGGGCCATTATTTTTACCCTTTTTCCTGGTCCTGTACCACAAAGAGTTAGAAACTAACGTTTGACTATATAAGAAGAAGAAATAACATAACAAGAAAAATTGGAAAAAAAAATCTTTGGATGAACTTGAAGACGTGCCTTTCGGATTTTGAAATACAAGAGAATATTGTCTGAACAGCTCCTCTAAATTGATGAATATATATAGCCAACACAAATTAAGAGGCAACGTAATAATGATCGGTTAATGTATATTAGTGATACATGGTATGGATCAAATATGTAAGGGAAATTCCTTGAATCAAAGGAATGTATAAGGAAAATAAGTGCAATTGTTCTTTTCTGATAACCCTTTTTTGTCAGAAGATTATTTGTATTACCAAAACAATGAAATGAATATATGTATATAGCCAAAGAGCAAATTAAGAGGCAACATAATATTTATTGGTTAATATATATTAGTGATAAATGGTATTGACCAAATATGTAAGGGGAATTCCGTGAACCAAAGGAATATATAAAGAAAATAAGTGCAATTGTTCTTTTCTGATAACGAATAAAATAAGGGCAATGAAATTTACATTTAACGTGGCCATTATTAAAACAAAATTGCATTTAACGCATAGCTATTAGTATTCTAATGAATTATTCCATTTGAACACAATATAACAATCCTGAATCCTCCCATAAGAAGGAAAACGCAACCCAATAGTAGGGGGGGGGGGGAAATATTTTTGGTATGTTTATGGCCATCCTGAATTAAAAAAAAATGTTCAATTATTTCTGGCAAAACAACCGATCGGATTGCACAGTTATTTTGCTGTAATGGGACTCCACATTTATCAAGAAAGATAACAGGCGCTTCAATTAGTTCTATAGGTCGATCGAATTTAAGGATATATACCCACCTCAACAAGATTGTTTGACTTTACTATACCAGTCGACCGCCCTCTCATACAGATCGACCATTATTTTTCTTTGCAATAGTAAAGTCTCGTTACAATACTCAAGCCTTTTAGTGGTGAAATAATTTCAAATCAATAATAAAGTAATTGTCAACCAATCCATTGTTTTATTGGAGTGATTACTATTTTCTTTTGCAATAAGATAAATGTTTCATAAGCTCCACCGCTTATTAAAAGCAATTCGATCGTTTTTTCCAACTCAGACTTCAAATGCATGGTAGCAATGAAGTGAGCCCAGCCCATCACTTGGGTTCAGGTTTCACGGTATGGAAGAGTAAACAAAGCCGGATCCTTCTTCCTTCCCTTTCTCCGTCGCTCGTTTCTCTTCCATTCTTCCATATGGAAAAGTAAGTTATTTTGGTAGCTTGATTATTATGATATTATCCACTTGATTGTAACTTCTTTCCTATTTCAAATCTTTTGTACCGTTGCCGCCTACTGGATTAGATCGTTTCCTTGTTAATTAAACTTATGCCCGCTCCCCCGTTCGTCCTTCACCGGTAGAACTGGGTTTCGGATTTTGCTTCATCTGCCGCATTTTCTTTCGTCGATGGCTTTCCTATTTTCTGGACAGAACGAATCCATTATTCGGATTGCGTAGAAAACATCAAAGAGGCTCGTTCTGTGCAGACAGTACAGAGCACAAACATAGAATTCATTCTTCTTCTGCCTCTTTGTGTCCCCCTTCTTCCGATCTCAGTGCCCAATTTCTCCTCAACTGCGAAAGAATGAAACTTTACCCATTTCTCATTTTCTCCTACCATCTGCTGCTTATCTTTCCCCTGCCACCCTCTGCTTTTGCCAATGGCGTTTCCCATCTCTCGAATGCAAACCCACATCCAATCCCCTGCAGATTCCTCCTTCCTTCTATCTCATCATCATCATTGATTTTCCCATCTACCAAATAAATCTCCAAACCTTGAGAATTAATTTCCCAAAACCCGGAAAAATCAATTTGCAATCACCCCTCTGCCTCGATCGACTCTGTTCACTCTGCTCTAAGCCCCTCTTCCTCCTCTTTCCGTTCTCCGGTTCCCACTTTTTGGCATGTCGGGCGGAGATGCAAATGCAACAATTGGGGCAAACGGGGTGGAACTATCGGGAGTATCCCAGCAGGCGGCGATACTGATCACTGTCTTCGGCGGAATTACTCTAGCCGTCGCCATCGGGGGATTCTACTGGCTAATCCGCCGTTTCTGCCGCAGCTATCAGCAGGAGCCACAGGGACAGCAGCCTGGGGAAGTAGCAGCTAATGAGGGCATACCCTTAGCAGAGATAAGGCCGCTGCCTGAGTTTCCTCAGCTGAGCTTCACGGAAGCAGCAAGAGAGCTGGACTACTGTGAGCCAGATTGCTCTATATGTTTGGAGAGATTCCAGGAACTAGAGATGGTGTCAATTCTTCCGGACTGCCACCATGTCTACCACCCACATTGTATTCGTGGGTGGATGATCCATGGACCCCGGCAGTCCTCTGCGGACACTACATGTCCGATCTGCAGGCTCACTTAGCAGGCTAGGGCGGCAGCCACTGCAGCCAATTGAGCTCGGCTGTGTATTGTTATAATGATTTTTGCTTTGATCTGATGAATGATGAAGTTGTGTATTTTTACAAAACGGAATTTGTTCAAATGGTGTGACTTATATGGAAATGACAAGACTTGAAGAGTACATTACAACAGCCACGCTGCATATAGCACAACTAAAGAAATGGTGAGACTTGAAGAGTACATTACAACAGCCACATAGCACAACTTCACAATACAATGGGAAGTGGCACCTAAGGACCGAATTCCCCTAAAGATCATCAAATCATAACATTCATGATCAAGAAGTATGCTTTCAGTCTCGTCATCAGCTTTGTGATCAGTCGTTCCCCCCTAGTTTCCATGATGGCAGAGCAAGCTTAATGGACCATATCTGTTCTTGGACCTAGTTCAGGCTGCAGGGTTGGTTGGTTTCCTTAAGCCCTCGTTTCAAGCTTTCGAGCCAACCCTTGAAGCATTTCTCCTTGCGCAACATCCCACAAAGTAAACAGCAGACTGAACCATCCAAAACCAGACAGAATTTTTTAGGACTTGGTGAACTAGGAAGAAGATGCTCGTAAGATGATATGTATAGTTCTTAACTAACAAGCCAAGTCTTTTTTACCAGAACAACAAACAGGATGAGGTTAAAGATTGCGACCACTCTCCATTCGGTTTTCATGTATTGAGCAACTCCTGCCCTGATAACAAGACAAAAATCAAATAGAGGGGAGGACTGGTGAGAGGCCTGAGAAGATGATAATCTACACGGGGGAGCATAAACGAAGGAAGCTTGGGAACATCTGGCTGCTTACTTGCACGAATCACAGTTGTAGCATTTGATACCCCTGGTGTTTTTGTAAAGCTTGCAATCCTTGTTGGAGCTTACTGGATGGAAGCTCAAGTCGTAGAAAGAAGCATTGACAGCTGGATAACCACACCTGTTAGGTTGAAAACAGTTAGTCCAGAACTTTGAGTTATGTAAGAGTAGTGAAATGACTATCGTAAACTTTGACAATGGATAGTGGCGTTGAGTGGAAAACTTTAGTTCAGTCAGTTAAATCAGAGGGGAGGGAGTGTCAAAGATACGTACTCAGATGGTGGACGGCAGCAACCAGCCTCGATGGGAGATAACTTAGCTGACTTGTACTGCTTGAGGGTCTGAAATCAACTTCAGTCATAGGTTAAGTAAAACATCCATAGTTGTGAACTATAGGAACAGATGGAGTCATCTGAGTTTGAGGACAGAAAAAAAGCACCCTATATTTCCTGGACAGGTGGTTGCAATCGTCGGATTTCACTAGGCAACTCTTCAACCGTTTCCAATGATTTGTGTTGTTCAGCTGGATCAATCAAAGTTTTCATAAGATCAAGAATTCAAGCAGTGTAACTGAGATTAAAGGAGAAAAACAATATGAGTGTCTACTTAAAGATGTCTGATATTGTATACCTGTTTAAGAAACCACGGACTGTAATCATGAAGTTGGTATTCTTTGTACCTGTTAGAAATATATATAAAACATCAAGCAGTATGACAGAGGAAGAGCCATTTTCACTAATTACTTCATTTTCGGATTATGATTTTTACTTGGGCATGGAAATTTTGGCATAACTAAAGTGCCCAAAAAGCTTTGTGTGCTTCTTACCTTAATCCAGAGACACTATGCCCAGATCCATTATTTGTTATAATAAACCTGCAAACACATAATGATACTACTGATCATGAATAGCCAAGAGAATTAGGCAGTTATACGGTGGGAGTGCATACAGAGTTCAAAGCTATATCGGACCACATTAAGTGCCTATCTCACAAGTCTAATATTTTCCATATTCTTTTAACTTCAGGTAGACACATTGATTTAGCTCATACAAGACCTTGTACTTGTAGGCAGAGTAGGATGTAAAAATAAGGCTTAAAGAGTACATGAAAATAGTTTAACTGGTTGCGAAGCAGAATTTCAAAGCACCGGTTGGCTTCCATTTGACTAGTACCAACTAACTTCAGTCTTACTAGCAATTTAACGGCAGAAATACGATCGTTCTTTAGAGCGAATCACAAAGTTTCAGTCATAAATCCTCCACTGAAATCAAGTGACTTATAGCATAGAAGCTGTGAGATAGCTACAGGCTACAAGCTCGTCAAGTATGCAAAGATCCTTTTAATTTCAATGCCGAGACTTGCACATAGCTTAAGGCAGTATCAAAGATAGAAATTGGTGCTAAGGGTGAATCTAACAGAAGGTCATATACTTACGCCAAGACGGTGAAAACCAGAATCGCCACCAAGATAATGCACAGCAGGATAAGATACTGAGACAAAGGGGGTAAAGGGTACACAATCAATCCATAGCCCCATTGAAAGAAACAAGTGAGTAAAAGTAGCGGAGAAAAAGGATGATGATAGTTGAGGATACAAGCCATAGTAGAATCGAGCTGTTCTTCCAGGCTCCCAAGAATCCGATTATGGAGCTACAAAAAGGAAATTGTAATGAGAAATAGTACACAGTATTCAAGTAAATTGGGTTGTTTTAGCAGCAAAGTAGAGGTAAGAGCTTACATGAGAAAGATGAAAGCGCCGAGGAATAAGATAGGGAGGGTGAGAGACTTTTTGCAGCTGTCATGATGCGTGCTCATCCAAACCCCATATATCACAATGCCAATGGCTAGCACCTGCACAGATCATCAAAAGAGAAGGAATTGAAGGAACCCAGAAACGGCATTGCGAAGATATTAACTAAATCAAGTGAAAGCAGCCAACTTTTTCACAAAAAGAAAATCAATCAGAAGAATAGCAAAAGCAGGAAAAGGAGAGAACTTCATGGAATCAAAACTACATAGTCAAAAGAGAAAGAGAGAAGTAGCAATGCCAGGAATTTATGGTTATAAGAATCAAAGAGCAAAAGGCAGGAAAGAGGCAGGGGAGAAAAATCAATCAAAAACTTCAGCAGTTGCAGAAGGAATGGAAGAAGGAGCCAGGAGTCAAGAGTGTTAAACAGCTGCACTACTTACCATGGTGAGGAAATTCACCCATCGTATCACGAAATTGCTAGTCCCCATCCCCATTTCCCAACTTTCTTGTCCTCTTTTTCTCCCTCAAAACCTAGCCCGGCAAAGAGAGGAGGGAGAGGGAGAGGGAGAGAGAGATGGGGAGAGGATTAAAGAAGCAAAGGGCAAAAAGATTTTCTCATTTCCGAGACATAGCGGGCAAGTAACTAGCTAGAGTCTCCGTAAGCTAAACCAAAAGGACCGGTAGCTTCTGGTATCCAAGGTCTTTTTTACATATTTCCATGCAGTTGCACCTATTAATGTATGTAAATCCATTTAATTTTAAGGCCGTTTTTCGAAGCTTGAGCTGGACACTTTAAACGTAACGGTACGGGGTGGACAACGAAACGGAGGGAGAAGAAACTAGCGGTGGAAGAAGTCATTGGGCATCGAGCAATTAGTATATTCCACCTGGTTGAAACGGCGCCGTGTCATCCTTTCAGCGTAATTATGGAAGTCGACGGAGGGTAATCTAGACTACAGAAACAAGACAAAGATACAGCAAACCATGGTCCATGTGTTTAGGGTGTTGGAGACACGCCACGATATGGACAACAGACACTGACGCCTTCCTTAAACATAACCTTGCACGTAACACACATAAGCATTATCAGAATAATCCATCGTCATCGTCAACAGCCAAACCATGTTGGTTTCGAAACGGCCCAAAAGGCTTTCTGACCCGGGCTGGCCCATATTAGTCCATGTGTATGAATATCATCCTCTCCTTTCCCTATAAACTCGGCTATTGGCAGTTCATCAATGGCCACCCTGCTTCTCTTCTCCAGCTTTTGATATCTGTCTTTGTTTGTTGTCATCTTAGCCACCAACGGCTTTGGTCAGTGGTGGCTGAGCGAACCAGAGGACGAGAGAGGCTTGACTTGGGAGGGCAGTGAATGTACGAATCAATTGCTCAGACTTTGTTGGCGCACGACAGAATTACGGACTTCATTTCTTCTTTATCAAGCAACGATTGAACGATCACCTGACAAATAAGCATTGGATCGCGAGATGAATACTAACTAACATTTAGCGAGTTTGCATTGGTAAGGAAAGGTAAGAGGTTTTGGATTGCATTACAACCTCCTGGACTTTGTTTCCGGCTCGTGCTAGTAACTTATATTGATCCTCAAACATGGATGCCATATAAACCTGCACACCACAAGATAAATGGAGTTAGTTCTTCCATTAGTATCCGGATTTGTGGGAAGTTCGAGTTAGATTTCGGTATCGAAGACAGTAGTCATACCTGGAACGTTGGAGCTAAACCTGGACTCAAGAAATAACGACCTTTTGTTACTGACTGGATTCCTTCAGTTTGTTCTAGTTCCTTGATCAGAGACTCTACTTCCACCCACTGTTACAGTTCCAAATGAAAGTGAGAAACAAAATGGGACATTGGCATCCAACGTTTGAAATCAAGGGACAGGAGAAAGACCTCAGTGTCTTCCTCAGCTGGTTGTAGACTACCGCTTAAGGGATCTCGATCCCCGATAACAGACTCCCAGGCCTCGGTCAAGGGATCTGGCTGTCAGAGTAGGCAATGCAGTTGCTTCATACATGTATACCAGCAGCCAAGATGGAAAAATGTTGGCAATCAAATCTTAAATATGTTAAGCACAAAGCTTACAGTAATTTCCTTCAGGGACAAGAAGATGCGTTCAAGAGTAAAATCCAACTGATGAACTTTTGCTTCCACGATCTGAGATGAGAAAATATTTGTTCCGGGAAATTGAGATTGAGAGATGTAAAAACTATATCATGCATAACATATAAAGGGAACTCCATTTGTTACGCTGAACAAGATCTGCAATAGTCTCACCCCAATCAAGTGATAATTGGAAATTGGAAGTACCTGACCCAGTTTAAAATATGATGCAGGATCCAAAGTGGCATCCCATGATACTTCAGTCTGATGAATTAATGCAGGTACACCTTCAACCTACACCCAAAAGTTCCGGTTAACTTTCTGCTGAAAGCATATTTGAGAGAGTTGCCGCATTATATTTGCTCGTCTTCACAAATTAAAATTAAACAGTCTCCTTTGGAATCCAGGACTTGGAGGCTCATATAACACATCTACTAGCTTTGCAAAGCTGGGGAATCACAAAATTGTACTTTACCTCAACAAAAACACCAAAATAGGTGATCTTTTTTATGCATCCCTTCACGACATCGCCAACTTGAAGCTTAGTCTGCAAAACAAGTTAAATAACAGCTTATTGCAAAGAACTATAAACGTTTTGAATTATAACACCCTTAAAATGCCTACTAAGAAAACGAATGTTTAATTTTAGAAAGAGTATCATCATGGCACATGAAAACTGTATGAGAGTATAAGGGAATAATTGTTGAAAATAAAATACAACTTGCCCCTCACCATCAAAGTTCTCTTCTTCTCGGCCAATTCTTCCTTTTCCTTGGGCCTCAAAGAAAATAGGAGTTTTCCAGACTTTTTATTAGCCATTACCACATTTGCTTTAATTTTCTGCAGATAAAGAACTAGTCAAGAACTCAGAAAGAGAAGTTCGTGACGACTTCCGACTTTATATGAAGCAGAAAGTTTCAAACCTGACCAACAAATGAGGAGAGGAATTTGAGCTTCTCCTGGTCATAAATCCTTAGAAGATCTTCCAACTTCATATCCGGAGTAATTTCACCTTCAGTTTTCACCTCGATTGCTGGATTTAACTTTCGGTCAAAAGAACGGTTCTGATGCAAGGAATCATAATTTTCAATGATCCCTAAATTTTGTTTGTATGCAGACGGGTCAAGACCCTTCTGTCTCACCCAAGACTCAAAAGCTATAAACTTCCATCTTGCAGCAAGATTGCGATATGGCAAAAATCCCACCAATGACCCAAAAGAGACCTGGAAAATGGGTGATTGGAATCACAACAGTCAAGATACTTGCAAACCAGAGAGTAACTCTTGTAATAGAGGAAATAAGAAGCCCATTCATTCATTGTGACTGTTCCACTAAACTGTACTTACAATGAATCCTCGTGCGCTAGAGCTTATCAACTCCACTTCAGCCCTATCCACTCCCTTAAACAGCTCTTCAGCCCTGGACCAGTCTGCAGCCTAATCCAGGAATCAGGAACACTCTTCAACTTGTATAAAGAATCAGGAATTCTCAAGGAAACAGGTAATCTGACCTCCACAGGTGAAGTAGCTGGGAGATTGTGGATCCCATCACCACGGCTACTGGTTCCAGGATCCAAAGAAACTGTCTGTTCCATGCTAGATGTCGATCTTTCTTTCACAGATTGGTCTAATCTATATAATAAAGTACCATACTTGATTAAACTAATTGAAAACAAAAAGCAGGATCCAACCAATTTCAAAAAGCAAGGAACATCTAGTTTCCTGAATGACTCAACGTACCTATTTGGTTTCCCCTGCAGTGATGCTTCGATTAATAAGTTGGACTCCGAATCGCTTTTACTTGCATCTGATTGTTGATTAAGAGGATCATATACTACCTCACTAGACAGATTAATGCTCTCCTGCTGAATCCCTTGAAAAACAACAACAATTTCATTTCCCACACCTAGCAGGAGATAGGTCTTATATGTGATTACAAAGGTAAGTGCAAGGGCTCATCAAACCTAAGTTTCACCATATGAAGGAAGAGATAAAACATAGTTGTTGAATAGAAAAGAGAATGAGAGGAAGGAAGATAAACTGGCTTTCCATTCCAAGAAACAGCCATGTAACACCTAAAGGTATTCAATTTCCATATAGATCAGTATGTCTATTAAACAGATCAGTTAATTTACCTCTATCAGGTTTATCTTCCACCACACCTTCCTTTTCAAGTGAGCTACTGCCAATTTCTGAAGATTCTTGAACCTCATTTCTCACACTCACAGGCTTCTGCAGCAGAGTGAAACCACTGTAGTCATCCTCCTCATCCATTTCATTCCTCATTGTCAACCTATCACCTCCATAAACTTCACCATCCACATGGGCAGGAGACTCTTGCTTCTTCTCAACACTCATTGCCTCAGGCTTTCTCAAAAGTGTCATATCACTAAATCTCTCTCTTCTCTGCTCGCCCCTCATTTTCAGCATCAAATTAGGTTGAATCATCCTCACCCTAGACTTCAAATCCTTGTCTTCCCCACCATCCTCCGCACCAAATATACTAGGTTTTCTCAAGATAACATCAGGAACCCTATGCTGCTTGACATTGCTGCCAGCAGCCGCATCTTTTACAACCGTACGAATCGGTTTCTTCATCTGTGGCAGCCTTGCAGGTTTACTAACCTCCTCCTGGAACCTCATTCCTTGTTTTAGCACAGGCCTGGCCAAACTCAAACCATCCAATGATGAAGAACTCGAGGAATTCTTCTTCCTTTCACTAGAAATATCAAAAGGAAGCTCCTCTATCTCCACTAGTTTCCCTTTGTTTCTATGAAACTCCTTCTCAACTTCAAGAAACGAAGCATCCGGATCCACCTTTCTAGCCATCATCTATTTCAGTCATACAACCACAAATGAAGTTCCAGAATCAGAAAAAAGAGCTCGAGAGTTCAATAGAGACCAAGGATAGCAAAACAGGTCGAACCTTAGCTATGGTGAGCTTAGGGTCTTCGCCGAGATAGCGGCCGAATTTGAGCTCCATTTGGTCCCACTCGTCCAGCTGCGGTTCATTTCCACCTTCTCTGGATGCCGAAACCACAAGTCTAACCCTTCTTCTTCCGGCGGACCTCCGTACTCCCGCTTTGGAACGAGGTAAGGAGAACTTCACGCCGGAGAAGGATGAGCAAGCGGGGGAAGAAGACATGGTTGTGGCTGCCGCGGCGGTTGTTACGCCGGAATTAGCGAGCGCTAGGGTATCCATTGAAGGGAATTGAGCAGTAATCTCATCGGCCGGAGTGCGACCGCATTTGAAAATTGGGGGAAGGGTATTGTTATTGTACAGACTCCTACAGAGGTTTAAGAGAAAGGAAGAAGAAGATAACGGACGCAGGGGGGAATCCTTCAGTTGTCTGGTAATGCATACGTGGCACTTCTAACCAATTACGTATATATTTTACTATTTTTAATTTTACGGGATGGAATTTGCAATTGAATTTATGATATTATGATTGTCATTCATGATGCACAAAATTGATGTTACTCCTTGTAATCTATTCATTTTAACAATGTAAACACATTATTAAATTGTTCCAGATTAGTTTGTAGAATCAAATCTTGAAAAAAATAAATTAAATGTTAAAAATGTGGGGAAAAAAGAAGAGAAAGCTAATATGGTAATGGTGGTATGGAAAATGTACCATGAAAGTTAAATTAGTTTGCTTGTTGAACTAAAAAAAAAAAATTAGTTTGCTTGTGCAACATTTTGAACATCAACTTAAAATGAAGATATAAAAACGTTGTAAATTTAAAAAATTCTTTTAGACCTCAACCAATATATCTGATTAGGGTCCTTGAATGGCATAGCAATCTTCTAATTATACTGGTGTGCCCCTTTGAGATTGTCACGCTAAACGCTTAAGATCGTGCATAATTTACCACAAACTAGTCGAATCAAACCAATTACGCACAATATGGCCTTTCAAATTGAACATACAGTAGACAGTAAACCCAGTGTCTCATTGTGATATTCAATCACAAGCTTGGATGCCTCCTCATCCCAAAGAAATTACAGTTTCCCAATGTGATTGATATGGGACTACTTTCCTGTGTTGCTCTGAAGTTTGAACAGAAGATATCAGACAACTTACCAATCACCAGCCACCAATTCTAGAGCATAAATTACAATGCCTTCAAATCCACACAAGAGATGACTATGTGAAGAGAATACTGAATCAGATACCACTCCTCAGGATTCACTTGAGTACGAGTCTGCGTCTGAGCCGGAATCTAAGTTGTATATGCGAATGGATCGGCTGACAGTGACACTGCCCGAGTCTGAGATGTCATAGTTCGAGTCCAGGTCTGAGTCTGACATTAAGTCTGCATCGTCCGAGGGTAGGGCGTTGGAGACTGGCCACCATATGGTTACATTCTGCTGTAGGTTCTTTAGAGCAGAGAAATCACTCAAGCTTGTGCAGCCTCTGATGTTTACGCTTCGCAATTGCTCCAAGCTAGACACATCCTCCGGCAACCTTTGCAATGATGTGCACCCACTGAGATCAAGGTGTTCCAAGGAACTCAATCCTCCAAGCGGCCCGATCTCCTGCAGTTTTGGAGCATCAGCTACTGTCAATCTATACAACTTTCGAAGCTTCGACAATGGAGGGAGTCTCCTTATTGAGGCCAAGTCAAGCAAAGTCAGTTCATTCAACTCTTCCATAGACTCAATCCAATCTAATACCAACTCTGTATCTACATTATCCTTTCCTCCCGTCCCTGTGATTTTCAACTGCTTCATCATGGGGAACTTTGACAGCTGCAATATCTGGCAGAAGCTCTGTAGGACTGGAGTAGTTCCACTGATGAGTAGATATCGTAAGGAGTTGAGTATTGCTGCTAATTGGCCATCACCATCGTCATCATATTCAGGGTCCTTGAATGATACTGATGAGAGAAGAGGGCTGATCCCTATGATTAAAGTTGTTAACTTGTTGAAAGATAGGAGAGTTCGAAAGCCAAGGAGACGAGTTAAACTCTCTGCATCATCAATGCTGAGCTTTTGCAACGATCTCAGTCCTCCAAGGCCTTGGATTTCTGCAAGACGAGGGCAGAAGTCGATGTCTAACTCCAACAACTTGCTCAAATACGCCAGACTGGGTAGTCTCTCCAATGCTTTACATCCTGAAAGGCTCAAGCTTGTCAAAGAGAGAAGACTGTCAAGACTTGGGATCTGCTTAAGTGAGGGACATAAGGAGATTTTAAATTGAGTTAAGTTCTCCAGATTCTCTAGACTTGGGAGCCACACCAGTTTTGGACAAGAATAAATGACGAGGCTAGTGAGAGATGATGGAAGCAACAGCAAAGGAGTTGGACTGGTAGTAATTGAGGTAGTCATCTTTGAGTTAGAGAGTGATAGGGACTTCAATTTGGATATCTTCCACCACATACTACTGTCTGCTGTCGGGATCTCAAGTCCAGAATCACAATCTCGAACGGCTAGATTCTCCAACTCCAACAGCTCTGGAAGGTTAGCAACTGGAGATGAAGTCTCTAGCACTTTCAAACTTGTGGGAAGCTTAATCCCCAACAGCAAGTTGATTTCACATGATACCATCAAGATTTCAAGAGACCCCAGTTCTCCAATATCTCTGAGCACTTGTCTCAGATTCTTCTCACAACATAACTCGCTGAAGTCAAGCTCTCGAAGGCCCTTCATCATCCCAATGGTTCCACCCCTTATCTCACTTATATCACAACCCTCCAGGCGCAACACCTTTAGGTTCCTCAAATTCCCAATATCCAGGTACCCAGATTCACCACTGAATTCAGAAACACTTAACACCTCCAGCCTTCCAGATTGTGGAAACTGGGGCAATTTGGTTAGGCTATCCCCCAAGAACTCCAAAACTTTCAGCTTGTTTGACACCTGCATGTTCAAGAAGTAATTTCAAATCCTGGTCTCAGTTTTCTATGCTTCTGTTAGTAGTAGTAGTAGTAGTAGAATTAAGTACCTTGATATGGCTCCAACCTTCCCAACTTTCATCTACTGGTTGTAAGAGTTGAAGAATCACCAGATTCTTCATGCGTATATTATCCAAACCATTACCATCCATGAGCTCCAATCGCAGCCATCTTAAATTCGGAAGATGATTACTAATGTCGCAAGCGAGCTTCACAGCTCTGACCTCAAGATATCTTAGCTCTGATAAATTCATAAAGCAATCCTTTTCGAGCTCCTCCTCCACAACATCATTATCTTCATTATCATCATCATCATCATTGGATGATAAGTTTACTCTAATGGCCTCCACTCGGTCTGTTCCCTATAACATCAATTGAACAACCCATTAACTATTATTGACTACTAAAACAACATGTGTTTAGCAGGTACGAATACCGTAAAGCAAAACGGGAAATCTTAACAGTCAGGATCATGTGAAACATACCTTCTTATCGCGTAACATGTCCATTGCCATTTCAGTGGACCATATTCTACTTCTCTTCCATGGATATTTTATATCTTCTCGCCGTATAATTTCTCTGGCCATATCTCTAAGTTGATCATGCATATGGAACTTATTATGATCATCCATTTCAATCATACACCTCTGAATAAGAATATTAATGTTGACGATCGGAAAAAAGCCACAATCACTCCACATGTAAGAAGCTATCTCCTTCTCAGTTTCAATGAAGAAACAAGCAATGTCCAAGAAAATTTGCTTTGCCTCGTGGTTTAATGTGTCATAGCTTATCTTTAATCTTTCTACAACCTCTTCCTCAGGTACTTCTCTTAGCTGCCTCAATTTCTCTTTCCAAATCCCTTCCTCTTCTTTAAATAAAAGTGATCCCACCAATTTAAGTGTCAAAGGCAGCCCCCCAGCAACAGATACAATATCTTCCGACAAAGTTTCATATATAGGTGGAGGAGAATCCTTTCTGAAGGAATGCTTGCAGAAAAGCTGAAGGGCGTGAGGCGGACGCATCTTCCGAACACCATAAAGCCTGTCTTGTTCAGTCAAAGTACTCAAGACTTTTATGTTTCTAGAAGTAACAATAAATCTGCTTCCCGGAACTAAATCCTCAGTGTCTCCCAAGATGCTGCGAAATTCGAGTTTCTCATCTACATCATCCAGAACTATAAGGACTTTGAAATGATAAACTCTATCTCTTACAATTTTGACTCCTTCACTAGCATTAGCAATGTCACAATCAAATTTTGTTCTCAGGATGCTACTGATTAGATTCTTCTGCAAAATGAGACAACCGTCATTTTGTTGTAGTGTTTCTCGTACGTTTTCCATAAAACAACACCGATCAAAAAGAGCAGATGTTTTGTTATAGACAGCCTTCGCAAGAGTGGTTTTACCAATACCACCAAGACCATGAATCCCAACAATTATCATCCCTCCAGAGTCCAAACTCATTCTCTCTTCTACCTCTTTTATGTGATCATCAACTCCAACCAACTCATCTGTCTCTAATAGATAATTATTCTTGCTCAAATGTGACCATATAACGCCAGTGACAAGATCTGTTATAGCTCCCTGCCTAAAAAGTACGATTATGTAAGTTAGTTCAACCTCATTGGTTCTTAACACGGGAAACTCAAAGTTGGTTATCATGAAAGGATTGAATAAGATCAGTGAAGGGAGCAATTTCCCGGAACAGGATAAAAAAGAATAGTCAAGAACAGGAAGAAGTAAGGTTTAGTTTGCTTACTCATTATTGCTTTTGATGTGCCATCCTTTCAAAGCTCCAACCTTGTTCATAGCAGCTTTCCATACTTCTGTGGTCTTTTCTTCAAAATTCATATTGTGTTTTTGAAATGCTTCCTCGTAAGGCCCACTTTGATGTCGTACATCTCTGGGATCAACCATGTAAAAGATGGGGAGTATGATGCACCCCTCGTCTCGCTCCTGACGCTCAACCATTGCAGCAAGCTCTCTGAGGCACCATTTGCTACAAGCATAATTCTCCGAGAAGATGGGAACATAGATTTTGGATTGTTCAATGGCCTTGACAAGACTGGGCCATATCCCTTCTCCTTTCCGCAGCTCATCATCATCCTTGAACGTCCGAATCTTTAAGTTAACCAGAAACCGGTAGAGGATATCGGTGATCTGATAACGAGTGTCTGGACCTCTGAAACTCAAGAACACCTCGTACTCCCCAGAAGGAAGTGGCAGCAAAGTATTCTCAGAATCTGCAGATTCAGAAGCATTAGCAATAGAATCCGGCTGTGTAGAGGCATTATCAACTCTGTTTGATGCATCTGAATTTCTCCTTCCCAACCACAGCTTGTAGAGGAGAATCAGTAGTGGAATGAAAATAACAACAATCGATGTCACAGCCCCCTTTGCGTAATCCATTTCTGCAGAACACATAAGTAAAAGCAATCAACAAGCTTTAAATCATTGAGACATACTCAACAACTGTCATGTACCTTAAAACTTTTGCAGTTTCATGGAGGCATCATAGCAAGCTACATTAAGTTGCATAGTTCACATTCCGAATTGAGAAAAACATAAATGGTGACCGTAAATGGGTCTATTCCAGATCCATTCTTAACATTCCCAAACAACCTCTTTATCTAAGCCATTTCCTCTGTCAGAGTGCCTAATGAAATTATATATAACAACCCATTTTTGGAGTGACACACTACAAAGGAGTAGCGTCCGGAAAATAAGAAACTCTGAGAGGGCAACAGCCAACATGCAAGCCCAGAAAAAGCGAGTTACCCATCAAGAATTAGAGGGGGGAAACGGATTCCAGGAGCGGGAAAATTGAGCAAGAATTCGAGAACCATACAGCAGCGAGACGAAAAGAAAGATATATAGATATATATATATTCTTACAGGAGTTCTAGTCGATGGCGGCTGCAGGTAGAGAGGAATAGAATGAGGGTTTCTCACTAGCCACTGCTTCTGCCAAAAAGTGGAAGAGAAGTGAAAGAAGGGAAGAAGATGAAGGAGGGTGGCGGTATTCATTTTCTTCATATTTTAAACAAAAGTTGAGCGCCTCGGGAGAAAAGAAAGTGACGATGAAGACCGAGACCAAGGTAGGTGGAGAACAGAAGGAGGTGGTTTAATTATTAGTAGAATTATTAAACCGTAAGTATGTACACTGTTCATTACGATTTTTTCTCCTTTTCACTATTTATTGGAGGAAGCTATATGTTACAGCCGGTTCCATTATATTTGCCCAACCTAGACACCGTATGGAGGCTAGCCCTTTCTAAGACGGCGACGGTGCTAGTGAAGGAATCGAGGCTATTGGTGGTTCCAATCTCCCTTCATCGCCAACCCAACTCATGGCGGCCGGTCTTGCCGTCGTTGTCTCCTGTTATGGAAGGAGAAGGTGAGAGAGGGGAAATTGGGCATCGTGCAGGTCGTCATTCGTCATCGTCCGGAGCGTCGTTCGTCGGCTTCGGGTCAGTGGGTTGGGAGCCTAGCTTCCCCTATTTTTTCTACTTTTATTTAATTTGATTTTGTTTCCATTCTATAAAATGATGGTTTGTTATAAAACAAGGATTGTAATAACATATCTGAGATTTTTTCGAAAAAGTTAACGATAGGATATTTTATACATAAATCGTAGTTTAATCATGGTTCAACCATTTTATACCGCTAAATTACGCCTATCGGTTTAGCCTCAAGTAGGAAGTTTTTCTGGACGAATCGCCGGTACGGTACGATTTCCCAATCCTTATTATGAATTAAACAAACCGTGATTCAACCCTTTCAAACTGTTAAATACCGCTTATTGAATTAGCCTCTAGCAGAATATTTTCTGGCCGAACCACCAATACGATATAATTTTTTCAATCCTTATTATAAACACACATGGGAAAAGATTGAGTTTTTCCATGCTCATGACATGGTAGTAACAAAAACCTTTCTAGATGTTAAGTCTGGATTATATCAATGTACTAGAGTTGTAAGAAGCAAGGTAGGGGCTGCAAGTGTATTTGGGCATCGGCTACATGAGCTCGACACGACAGATTTCCCTATACTTATCATAAACAAACGGTGGTTTAATCGTGATTCAACCCTTTCATAGCTATCAAATTAGTTTCTAATAAGAGATTTTTCTGGTAGAACTGTCGATACAGTTAGATTTTCTCAATCCTTATACATAAATCGTGGTTTATTTAACCATTTTATATCGCTAAATACCGCCTATCGGATTAGCCTCAAGTAGGAAGTTTTTATGGACGAACCGCCGGTACGGTACGATTTTCCAATCCTTATTATGAATTAAACAAACCGTGATTCAACCCTTTCAAACTGTTAAATACCGCATATCGGATTAGCCTCTAGCAGAATATTTTCTGGCCGAACCATCGATACGATACAATTTTTTCAATCCTTATTATAAACACACATGGGAAAAGATTGAGTTTTTTCATGCTCATGACATGGTAGTAATAAAAACCTTTCTAGATGTTAAGTCTGGATTATATCAATGTACTAGAGTTGTAAGAAGCAAGGTAGGGGCTGCAAGTGTATTTGGGCATCGACCACAGCTACACATGAGCTCGACACGACAGATTTCCCAATACTTATCATAAACAAATTGTGGTTTAACCGTGATTCAACCCTTTCATAGCTATCGAATTAACTTCTAACAGGAGATTTTTCTGGTAGAACTGTCAATACAGTTATATTTTTTCAATCCTTATTATAAACACACATGGGAAAGATCTCTTATTCGTGTTTTTTCATGCTCATGACATGGCAGTCATGAAAGCCTTTGTAGATTATGGATTACAGTGTGATACATAACGTTGTATCACAAGGCATTAATATTAATTAACTTTGATACTTCATCAATGTCCTAAGAGTTGTAAGAAGCAAGCTAGGGGCTGCAAGTGTATTTGGGCATCCGGCACGACCACACATGAGCTAGCACGACATGACACGACATAGTTAGAGCACAGTACGAGCACGATCACGATATATATGGGTCAGTCTGGTATCAACACAAATATCTTATGATACGTGTCTGACCTAAATTTTATGGGCATGGCCACACGAGCACGGGCATGACATATACTATAGTTGGGCAGTGTCGGTCCTAATATTTTTGAGACCCTATTGAATATAATACATGATGCAAAAAATAATTATTTTATAAAAGGTAAATAAAAAAATAATTATAAATCCAACTATTAAAATATACAATGGTCAAAAAAATTACACTCAATTTCACTTTAATATCTTTTTCCCCTTTAGTCTACTATGTAGATATCTTTTCATTCCACGGTACGGAAGATTTGCACATTACAAATATATTACGCAAAACTTATTATTAATTGCAATGTTTATCATCTCATAAATTTGCATTACGAGAAGTTATGTAAGGTAAGCTAACATTTGCATAGTAGTTTGATCAATACTTTCTATAACTTGATCTCATTATTAGACCATAGATTATGAAATATTTACTTAACACCATTCTACAATCATTATATAAATTATAAATATATTACGCAAAGAGCATAGTTGAATAGTTATTCATTATATATCAATTAAACAAAACTCATTACATAAGTCTTCCGTAATGACTAAGACAATACATAAACTTTATTGGGATTTCCTACGGTAACTTGAAGTAAGGTAACTTGAATTTTTTTACCTGCTATAGCAGGTTTTACAGGTCGTATTACGTAAAATATAATAGGCATTACGTAATGGTTACGTAACATATGATAATCTTACGTAACAGTTGTAAAAGATCATTACGGAAGCCTTACGTAATAGAATGTGTCTTTACGTAATGAGTATTAACCTCGTGTTACGTAAAATGCTAAGTCATTACGGAAGCCTTACGTAACGCTACTGATTTAACTGTTACGTAAGAAATAATTGTCGTTCCGTAACCTTTACGTAATGGAAGGTCTTTTTACGTAATGAGTATTAACCTTGCGTTACGTAAAGTGCTAAGTCATTACGGAAGCCTTACGTAACGCTTCCGATTTAACTGTTACCTAAGAAATAACTATAATTCCGTAACCTTTACGTAGTGAATATGTATTTTACGTAACAGTTGTAAAATATCATTACGGAAGCCTTACGTAATAGAAGATTTCTTTACGTAATGAGTATTAACGTCGTGTTACGTAAAGAGCAAAGTTATTACGGAAGGCTTACGTAACGCTTCTAATTCAATAAGAATTAAAAAAGGAAATGTTAAAACATGGAAAGACAACTAAATATGAAAAAGGAAAGAAAAAAATAGAAAAAGGTAACTTGGAATGGGTGACCGGCAACCCATGTTGCTATTTATTTTTTTAGTTATTTTTTATTTATTTAATCAATGGTTGAAAATAAATTTGGTCAATTTTAACGGTTTAGATCTATGCAAGTTACCTAACTTCAAATTATACCCAAGTTATGGTAGGAGATCCCAAACTTTATTAAAGGATAGTAATTGCTATGTATTAATTGACTAAACAAAATAGGCAAGTCTTCAGTAATATAAGTTGGAACAAAAAAAAATCCTACATTGTAGACAAACTGTTCACTATCTCATCAATTTACATCATATGAAAGTTTTGTAAGGTGGGTTGGTTTTACATAACAGTTTGATCATACGTTATATCATACTCAACTTAATTCCGTTATGCAAAGGTTCTCTAAGATAAGTTGATTTAACAAATAGCTTAATCAAATATGAGATTTTTCTATAAGTTGATTTTATTATTAGATCACAGATTACAGATCAGCGGAACAATATTCTATACCAATTATGTAAATTAAAAATAAATTATATAAATTTATAAAGAGATAGTTATTTCTTACGTATCAATTAAACAAACGTATTATGTTAGTCTTACGTAATAATCAAGACACTGTGTAAGTCTTATTAAAATATCTTATCCAAAGTATTTTATGAATGATCTAATTTCAACTAAAGCAGTAGATGAAATTTTAAATATAATTAGTTTCTTACCGCCGCGAAGCGCGGGCCAAAAAACTAGTTAATTATAAAAGATCATCGCCCATAGAATACCAAGTTAATATCCAAAGAAACAAACATCTTAATACTTATTAAAGTGATAATGTAGTTACTGTCAGGCACCTTTAATTTTTGTAGGTGACAGCCAACCCTAAATTACGTGGCCATTATAGTTTTTTTTCTGATGGTCTTCATTGAAATCATAATTTTTATGTTTTTGTGGTCAGTTTTAGATTAATTTTATCTGACCTACTTCTCCATTTTTGCATAGAGAATACAATCTCCTACAATCATAGTTCGATCATGGATAAAATCAAGTTTGACACATTCCAATCCGAGCCTTGACTTATCAGGAAAAAACCAAAAATTACAAAATCTTAATACTTATCAAAGTGATAATGTAGTTACTGTTGCATTAGAGAATGTTTAAAATGACAGGCACCTTTAATTTTTGTAGGTGACAGCCAACCCTAAATTACGTGGCCATTATAGTTTTTTTTCGATGGTCTTCATTGAAATCATAATTTTTATGTTTTTGTGGTCAGTTTTAGATTAATTTTATCTGACTTCTCCATTAACAGGAAATCAAAAATTGTATCCATACCTAAGGTTGTACCGGAAAAGTTAGGATTATAGTATTTTGTGCTAAAATCGTAGTTCAACTATAGTTAAAATTCGGGTTGACATATTGCTCCAACCTGAGCCTCGATTGATGTTAAGAAAAGAAAAATGTAAAACCATACCGAAGGTGGTACCGTAAAATTTATAATTAGGATATTTTGTGATAAAATCATATTTCAATCGTGGTAAAATCAGGGTGACACATTGCTCCAACTCAAATCGATGTATGTTCAGAAAAAATATAAAATTGTAAAACATAACAAACTTCGTACCTGAAAAGTTAGCATTATGACATTTTTCTATTGAACCACTGCTAAACACGATTACAAATCAATTACGAGTTAGCAAACAATACATCTAATACTATTAGAAGTCGCAGCAAAGCGCGGCACATAATTTATCTAGTATAATAAAATTGATAATGCCCATAATTTAGAAGGGTAAATTATATGATTGGTCACTGAGATTGTAAAAAAAAAAGTTCACGTTTGGTCACCCAAAATATTTAAATTTATTGGTGGTCCTTTAGTTTAGTAAAACTGTTCACATTTGGTGACTCTCCATTAGTCGTTGTCCATCTCCATCAATGGAGTCGTTAAGTGATGGCGTGGCGGACAGAATCGTCTAATAAGCCTTATTTAACCCGAAAATGGTGAGACCCGACTCGCCACGTCACTAAGACCCGCCAGGTCATCTGGACCAACCCAACCCTCTAACCGGACCCGACCCGACCTTTGAACTAACCCACACCTTTGTAATCATTATAGTATTACTAATGCTTGTATATTGGAACTTCTTGCCCTTTGTGATGATAAGAGATGGTGTCATACTCATAATGTCATGGTTGTTAATTTTTGCGGAGATTCTCAATAGAGGTGGCAATTGGATCGGATTCGTGGATTCGTGAATTGGATTGGTGGATCCATGGATCAAATGGATTGGATCCAATGGATTGGATCAAATGGATTGGTGGATTGATCCATGAATCCAAATGACATCCAAGGCTTGGACCAAAATGTAAATTTTGAAAAGTTTAGATACTAAAATGTCATAATGAAAAATTTTAGGTACCAAAATGTAATTTTCAATGATTTTTTCGTATAAAATATAAATTTTAGGTACCAAAATGTAAAATATAGAAAATATAGGTACCAAATCGTAATTTGCCAATTGGATCCATGGATTGATCCATGAATCCACCAATCCAATTGGATTTGGATCAAATGGATTGGATTTAAATGGATTGGATTAAGTGGATAATTTGGTGGATGGATTGGATTGGATTCATGGATTTGGATCCTAATTGTCACCTCTAATTCTCAACTAGTCAAGAGGGATGCTACATCTAGAAAGTCTTCTCATTCTAAAGACGGAGTCATTTTAAAGGAAGTTCATTTTCTCTCGTCGCTCTTTTATGTCAGTTTCGTGTCTTTTGTCTCTCATAGGTTAAACATAGCACCCACCTAGTGGCAAAACATACTCTTTCATCGGGAGTCTAGTTGCAAACCGACTACTATTCTTGGTTGTTGTCAGTTTTGTAAGTTTGTTGTCCGGGCATGTTCTGGGGGTTTATCTTAGTTTAAAAAAATCTAAAGGACAAACCTGTAGAGACATTACCAAATCTTCGGGAGAATATTCACCCGAGAAACTTCTCATGTATGCTCCGAACTTTGTATTCACTTAAACTTTCTTACAAGCAAGCATATCCATTAAGTAACATTGGACTTCCATAACCAAATACTTTGATTTCACTAGCAATGGTTCATCTAGTCGACATTTTTCTAAAAGTCACGATAACCTGTAAGTCATCATAGCAAAGTCCTTAAAGGGTAAGGGGACGATATAAAATTTTATTTTGTTAATATTTTGAATTATTGAGATCAACTAACTCTTGATATTAAAGCGACCAAATCCATGATTGATTGAGCAATCTCGCATGAGAAGGTTGGGAGAGAGCAAGGTTTCCAGTGACTCAATGCCATTTTTTCCATTTTGTAATGATTTCTGTTGGGTTTGGAGATAGCAAGGTTTACTGTGGCTCATTGCAAATCTACTTGTGTCTCTATTGGATATGGAGGTTTACTCTTCTTTTCTCCCTTGCGCTGCCGGAGGTAGCCCGCTGTTTGATTGGTTGTGATACATATTCGAATGAGGTCACGCTAGAAGTTTTTTGTGAGGCGTTTTTTCTGTTGTTGTTGTTTTCACCCCTTGAGCATCTAAGGCACAGCTTAGTATTGTTGCTTGTTTTAGTTTCTGGTGTATTTCTGAAAATTGTGGAAACCAAGGGGGAAAACGTGTTTAGTTGGGTTTTTATTTTTTGTTGTGAATCAGATTCACACAATTAGGCCCAAATCAGAGAAACAACAAGGTTTGCTTCCCTTGTATTTCCGATGTGGTACTTGGATTGTCCCATAACATAACTTTTGTACATGAGAGTCTTACTGGTTGGGAGCCTGATTTCATTAAACCAGCCCATCAATTCGAATCCCAACTAAAACAAATTTCCCCCCTTTTTCCACCCAACCCACCTGCAAACCCTAGTCGACATCTCATTATCCCTCCAACCAAACCCGTCGCTCTAGACTTCTTCCTCTCGAGGGAAACGACGAACACAGATTGTCGCCCAACCTCCACCACTCCCTCGTTCCCGGCTTCATATCTCCCTCGCTCTCTTCTCTTCGGCAAGCACAGAGCTCACGCTCACTCTTCCGTGAGACAACACAGTCGGTCGCTTGTCCCTCGCCCTCGCCCGCCGCCTCCGTCCTCTCCATCGGCCTCTTTGAGCCATCGATCGAATACACGACTTTACCTGCTCGGCTGAAGGATACAAATCGATGACGGATCCAGCCGACTTTGTCAGGTGGAGTTGTTGGCCGCGGATGCCGGAGGAGGAGGAGTCACCGTTGACCAAACTGTTCCTCTTGTAATGTAAGCCGGCGATGGAGGAAGATATGAGATTTCAAAGGATAACGAACCCCCATGGCATTCATGGATCTGAACATTACAGTTTTATAGAAAGGCATTAACGGATATGTCTTGTGGTTCCATTTCTTTTCACCAGAGATTAAAGTCGGCAAATTATTTCCTGTTGATCCATTTGTTGCTCAAGGAAAACCTATAAGGAAGTGGTTAAGTACCATACACGAGCTTGTATAAGATCCAGCATAACCTTCTTCCAACAACTCGAGTTATTGGGACCAACTGGTTTATGTCATGGTATCAGAGTTGGTTTCTCCTTGAGGTCACGTGTTCAAGTCCTCACGACCCCCAATATTAACTATTGTCTTTCAAGCACATGGTATGGCGTGTCTGTGCAAACTTCAAGCCCATGATCCCAGCAGGCTCAATCCATGTTCCCTTTACTGTATATTGAGAAATGTTCTTATGATTTTGTGTTATAAAGAACTAAACGCGTTTATGTTTCTTGTTGTCGATTTCCATAATATATCATAATTACCAACTAAACATGTTTTTGTTTTCTATTTTTATGTTGTTGTGGTTTCTCTTGTGTTACATCAACCATTCTACAACCACAACAAAACTATACTAAACGGGCCCTAAGGCGCTTTGCTTGTTGCTCTTGTGTTTTTTTTCTTGGTCTCTTTGAACCTTTTGCCTTTCTGATTTTTTTGGCGGTCACTTCTTGTGATGTCGTGTACTTTGTTTTCTGTACCTTGTATCTTTTGCTTTTTAATAATATTCATCATTATAAAAAATAATGATTAAGTAGGCATACAAAATTAATTTTATGCTTGCCAAGGAAGAAGTTCTCAAATTGAATTTGTACTTTCAATGTTGTTTTTGTACAAATTCATTTATGATACAAACTGAATCTCTACCTTTCAACACAAGTTTCTTTATGATACAAATTCAGCACTAGTATTTGTGAGCAGGGTAAAATTACTCCAGGCACCCAATTGGTATTAGTGATCAATATTACATGATCATACAAAAGAATTAACGAATTGGAAACAAGGAAGTCGGTCTATAACAAGGAACAAAAAAAGAAAGTTGTGTTAAATCTCTTTTAAACATAAAAAAAATGAACACCCCAAGTACAAATTTGTTAACTCGACAAATCCCCTGTCTCTCTCTCTCTCTCTCTCTCTCTCTGCAATCAAGTTTCAACCTTATGCCGTCTACTGCTCCTGAGCAATGGGCTCCTCTTTGACTTCTTCCTCTTCCGCCGGCGGCGCCCTTGGCGTGGCGGACTTCTCGTCGTCGTCTTCCTCTTGGTTGTGATCTTCTTCTTCTTCGCCTTCGGATTTGAATTCTTCGACCGCGTGGGCGGCGCTCTTCTTGTTGATGTAGCTGTAAGAGCCCTTCTCCCTGAAGAGCTGCGCGAAGTGGTGCTTGCAGTAGAGCACGCCGTTGAGGGCGGCGTAGGAAGAATGGGTCAGCACGCAGCCGCCGTGGGCGCATCGGAAGCATGTCTTGTGATAGAAATCTCCTTCCATCGAAATCTGCAAATCAACAATTCGTGTCCATATTGTCACAAGCTAGCTAGCACACCCATTATCAGAAGAAAAAAAACAGAGTTTTGTAACAAATAGTCACCGAAATAAATATGGACGCTAAAACGCTTTGTTAACAACCTATTTGCTTTTGGGGACAATTCTTTTGGTCGGGAAAAATAACTCTTTTTTATAATAGTTGTATCCCATATCAATTATACGACTACTCTTTGAGAAGGACATTAACATATAAGGAAGTAGTTAAGTGTTATGGACTCCTTTTCGTTTATAGTATGAGAGTTGGTTTGCCATTTAGGTCATGTGTTCAAGTTCTCACGATCCTCAATATTAATTGTTGTCTTAAAGTACATAGTATGGAGATGTATGTGTAAACTTCAAACCCTTGATTCGGCTTTCCTTTAAAAGGGCATGTAAGAAAATGATTAAGTACTATATATATAATAGAAGACAGATTAATGGGTGGAAATAGTTTAGGGAGAAATCTTGTGTTTTTCTTTCTTCTTATTGAAAGATTCACAAGTAATTAGATTTAAATCTCGTGACGAATATACCTTGAGAAGATGATCTAACAATAAGTATTAATATGACTTTTTTCACTCGTATTAAGCTACTAGATGGATCGAAATTAGATAAGCTAATGACTGAAATTAGAAGCTACCTTCTCCAAGGGGTAGACAGTTTTGTGGCAGGTGGCACATTTGTCCTGGGTGCCGGAGAACATGGAAGCAACCTTGTTTGGAGTTGCACCCTACACAGAGCAATAGTAACCAAATTAAATCATGATTTAGGGACCACTCTAATTCAAAAGGAACAAAATAATCCATAATTAACGACCAAATAAAACAGTTTTTAACTTGTGATTACCTGACCGGTTTTCTTTTCTCCAGCTGGATATGATGCATCAAGTTCATGGAGAAAAGCCCAATTAGCAAACGGGAGAACACAAAAACAAAAACAAGGAAGAAGTACAAGAGGGACGACAAAATCTATAATTAGGAAAGATCAGAAGTAATAGAGTAAGCAATAATGGAGTACTATTTAATTACCTGTTTGGAAATTTTTACTGAAACTTCCTGTTTCCTTGAACAATTGCTCAAAATGAGGCTTGCAGTACAGAACTCCATCCATAGATGAGTAGTTCCCCATCTAACCACAAAAGTGAAAGAATTTTTATGATGTTCAATGTTGTGCAATGGATGTCTAACCAAAACTAGCAATAGGGTTATCTTGCAGACGGGGGAGATGCTAATATCATTGAATCGCAATACACGATCTCAAATGTTAAAATTAAATGTTGATTTTACTTACAAATTATATCATTATGCACAGTCATTTAATAGTTGAGATCACGAGATTATGCGATCCAATTACATTAGTTTGAGGCACTGATACAAATCCTTATGAAAAGAGAAATCAATACTAAACAATTTTCATACCACAAGTTTCCCATTGCAATGGCTGCATTTGAAGCAAGTCTTGTGATAAGAGATCCCATCGGCAGTGATCATGTCGATGAAATGAACGGTCTTGTCGCAGGCCTTGCATTTGTCGGTTGTCCCGCTGAAAACCATTTTGATATTCTTGGAAGAAAACTACAAATTATTTTAACAACAAATAGAGGGACTTCCGATTTCTATCTCAAGCAGATGAGATAGAAGAGAGAATACCCAACAATATTTGTTGTCTTTTCGTTCTTCTTTTTTATTTATTATTTTCTTTGTACAAAGATTATTTGAGAAGGATGCCAATATTTATTTTGGAAGGGTGAAGGCAAAAGAGAAGTTTGTGGAGTCTTTATGGGGATAGAGGTGATAGGGGACTTTGTGGAAGAAATTTTTGGTATATTTTGGAGTTTCTGAAAATAGGGTTCTATTTTTCTTTTGCCTTAACAAAGATAAGAAATGGAAAATATAGTTTCATTGACCGATTCATTATCTTTAATGTAATTTGTGGTTGATTTTCGAATATGTTATATTCATAAATTTAGTTTGATGTCATTGTACATTTGTAATTGTTCCATGGCGCGAGGACAAATTTATAAGTTAATTAGATAGATCCAAATTAAGAGCCGTTACAACTTTTTAATAGTTGCTTTCTTGTTTACTAGGGCTCTATGAAGATAATTTTGCTTAGCGTTTAATTACCTCCATGGTAAAGGCATATAAGCATAGTTAGTAAATACTCTGTTTAATATATGTATATGTACTCGTATGTATTTTATCCGTTTAAAACTTCCGTATCCGTATTATTGTCAAGCCGTTTCATTTTTCTCCGTTCATTTGATGGCTCCCGTATTAAACACGTATAAAATTCGTATAACACGTTTTAATATCCGTATTTAACAAATTAAATTACAAACTTTACTATTATTAATATATTTATTTATTTTTAAAATAATTTATTTTTCTATATTTATTCAATTAACGTACTATTAAATGTAACATTAGCATAGAGACAAAGTAAAACACCCGTATGTATTTTATACGTAACTTTTCCTTACCGTATTTTACTAACTATGCATATAAGGCAAGAGGTAGTTGGCACAACGTAAATATCCGTTGAAAGGGCTATATGTATCTCAATCGTTGGTTGCATACGGTTGCATTTTCTTTGCTACAGCGTGTCGAACGAGAAAATTAAGCAAATCCTACATAAGAGAGTCAGGGCTGATGATTAAACCACGTCAATAATCAAACCACTAAAATGTTATCGATCTTCGTCTAATCACTCGTCTAACCCACTAGCAGCCCTTCCTTACCTAGGGAAAATATTATTGCCGACGATCTATTGTCATTTGACTGTTGAGTTCTCCCGCTAAAAACAGTTGTTCCTAGGATATGCTCCAAAACCATGCTCCTCCTTACCAGAAGAAACCTAATTCCCCTGAAATCCATCATCTCCAACCCTCTTTCGATCCTCGCCACCCGCTTCCTTTCCACCCAACCAAATCCGCTCCAAAATTTCTCTCATGATGGAGAAACCCGAGACCACCAAGTTGAAGAACTCGAACCCATTAGCGTATCAAACACCTCGTACTGGACCAGAAAGATTCACGACCTCTGCAACAAGCACAGGAGGGTCGACGAAGCCCTCCGTATCCTCGAAAGCCTTCGTCTCCGCGGCTACCAGCCGGATTCTCTCAACCTAAGTAGCATAGTCCACGGGCTTTGTCTGGTCAATCGGTTCAAGGAAGCGCACCACCGGTTTGCTCTGTTCGTGGACTCTGGCTGTATCCCTGATGAGCGCACTTGTAATGTCATTATCGCTAGGTTGCTCGATTCGAGATGCCCAGCTGATAGTTTGAACATTCTGTGGCTTTTGGTTGATGCTAAGCCGGAGTTTGTTCCTTCCTTGGTTAATTACAACCGGCTGATTTATCAATTTTCCGAGGTTTCGCAGCCGGGAGTTGGGCATCGGTTGTTTTTCGATATGGTGAGTAGAGGGCATCGCCCAAATGTGGTTTCTTTCACGACTTTGATTGATGGGTATTGTAAGATTGGGGAAGTTGGTCTTGCGTATAAAGTGTTCGATGAAATGACTGAATATGGCCGGGTGGTGCCTAATTCGCTCACTTACAGTGTGTTGATTCGGGGAGTATTAAGGAGACGAGAGGTTGAAAAGGGGAAAGAACTAATGAGGTTGCTCTGGACGAGGATGAAGGAGGAAGAGGATCAATCCGTGAATGCAGCTGCTTTTGCGAATTTGATTGATTCTTTGGGTAGAGAAGGGTTTTACAACGAGGTTTTTGACATTGCTGAAGGAATGCCCCAAGGCGAGAGTGTAGATGAAGTTTTTGCTTATGGGCATATGATTGATTCGCTTTGCAGAGTAGGAAGAAGCCATGGTGCTTCAAGGGTTGTTTATATAATGCGAAAGAGAGGATTTGTTCCCAGCCAAGTATCGTATAACTCTATTGTCCACGGACTATGCAAGGAGAGGGGTTGCATGAGGGCATTTCAGCTGTTGAAAGAAGGGGTCGAGTTTGGTTACATGCCATCTGAGTATACTTACAAGGTACTGTTGGAAGGTCTCTGTGAGGAAATTGACATATGCAAAGCGAAAGAAGTTCTAGACATTATGCTGAATAAGCCAGGGGTGGACAAAACTAGAATATATAATATATACTTGAGAGCACTTTGCCAGTTGAATAATCCCACTGAACTCCTGAATGTGGTTGTTACCATGCTACAGATTAATTGTCAACCTGATGTCTTCACTCTTAACACGGTCGTCAATGGACTTTGCAAGGCTCAAAGGCTTGATGAAGCCTTAAAGGTACTGAACGATATGATATCAGGAAGGTTTTGTGCTCCTGATGTTGTAACCTTCACCACCATCATAAGTGGGCTATTGGCTGCTGGAAGAAACCATGAAGCTCTTCAACTGTTGAATGAAGTAATGCACAGAATTGGTGTTAGACCTAATGTTGTGACATATAATGCAGTTATTCGTGGTCTATTCCGACTCAGGTTATCAAATGATGCTATGGCTATGTTCGAGCAAATGAAAATTGATCATGTGGATGCAGACAGTACAACTTATAGTATAGTGATTGGTGGGTTGTGCGAGTCGGACCAAATAGAGATGGCCAAGAGTTTCTGGACTGATGTTGTGTGGCCTTCTAAGATTCATGATAATTTTGTTTATGCAGCCATTCTCAAGGGACTTTGTAGGTGTGGCAAATTGAACGAGGCATGTGATTTCCTATATGAATTGGTTGATTTCGGGGTCACTCTGAACACTGTGAGCTACAATATTGTGGTTGATGCTGCATGCAAGTTAGGGATGGCAAGAGAAGCTTATCAGATGATGAGAGAGATGCGGAAAAATGGGCTGGAACCTGATGCCATAACTTGGCGGATTCTTGACAAATTGCATGTCAGTCTAGAGAATGATTGTGATCTACGATTATCAACTCTTAAACCCTGAGATATATCAAGAGGTTCTGAAGTCATGTGGTTGCTTCAAATGGTCTCGACTCTCAGTTCTTTACATTAAGGACAACTCTCCCAGTCGTCCAAGCTTTTAGAAATTGCTTACATGCTCTTTCCAAACAGTAGCAAGGGATTTCTGCTACTTCTGCCAGTAATTTTCCTCCCCAAATTGGAACAACTTGCAAATTGTAGAAAAAACTGATACATTTGCCAGTTCACAAGAACATCTGGATGGCCAGATCCAGCCAGTGAACATATTAGTCAATATATTGTGATACTGGGTGCTGAGTTCCGGATTGTATGACAACCTTCTCATCAGCATGCTGCAGCAGAAAGGTACGCCATTAGGGAAAGCAATCAGTAGAGATTTTCCTGTAATATGTAGATTTGGATGGCCTTCACGTAGTTGTTGGTCTAAACAACGTGAATATCTTGAATCAGGATTCAAATCTAGATTTAGATAGTGACATAGTGTAAGGCACGCTTTCACTCAAAGGAATTGACAAGCCAAGAAGTGTTTCCTGTAAGAGAACCTTATTTGTTACATATCTGGTACCAAGTTAAAACAAATCTTCAACTTAAGATCTTAGGTAATGATGGTTGCACATACAAAACACGCCCTCACGCACTCGGCACAAATAGTGTCATGAAACAAATGTAACAACTAGAAAAAATATTGAACACAAGCCAAACCGTAAACAAACAACTGGAAAAGAAACAAATAATCTGAGAAGACATCTGGTCTGTATGTTTGTGGATTCCTGATCAGTCTTTAGCATCCTAAGCAACTGAAGAACTTCCTTGGTGTATACCCAGTCGCTCTGTATGTTTTAGCAGTTTCCTCAATCTTCACGTACTCTTCACCTTTAGTTGCTTCAATCACTGCCCTCTTCTCCTCTGCCTCCTTGTGGACTTCAGCTAACTTGTTCTGCATCTTCTCAGCATATTCTGCCTTCTTCTTTTGCAGTTGCTCCTGCGTATTACAAATGGAACATGATGACCTCAAAATTGCATGAAACAAGTAATTCACTATAAAAAACTGCTGTGAAACAGTAAATCATTACCTCATACTCCTGGAGCTGTGCTTCTACAGCTACTTTCTTGGTATTCTCCCACGATGCAATTGAAGCGAGCCTTTTGTAAGTCCTGGTTAGCAATTGTTTCTTAGTTTAGCTGCTGGAGTCGAATTATAACATAATTCGGTAGTGGCAAAAGAGGGAAATTGCATATGCTTACTTGTTGTCTATTTTAGCCTTCTCATTTTCTTGCCATGCGCAGATCAAAGCATTTCTTTTCTCTGTTTCAACCCTTGCAAGGGCAGCATCTGGAATCAAATGATCAGTTCATCAGAACATTTTCAGCATGGGAAAACAAAGGTAAAAGCCTAAATATCATCACGTACCTCTGTTGATTGGATTGAGTGGAGTCTTTTCAGTTGTGTTTTCTGAAATTGCTGCCTCATCTAGAGAATTTTTAGAAGGTGAGGAACTGAATGAGTCCATTTTAGGCTAAAAGAAGGATCATAGCTGAAAAGTGACAGTAACGTTGGCTGGTGTTTATGGTGACAAATGAGCAGCAGGGGAAATAGAATCTCCTCCATTAGGAAACAAATAAACCCAAATTACTCTGATTCACGTATTTAGTATTAGCTTTAAAACGATTCAAATTCATCCTTGATATGTAACTAAAGTTGGAGATTTCTTTTTTATTGAAGTCGATTAATTTTTTCTCTCCTAAAACTCCCTTCCAGTTAATAAAGAAACTTCCTGCAATCCGAGAAAACACGAACACACAAGTGCAAAGTTGATAACTTTTGAAATCCTTGAAACTCCATAGCCCCTTTTAAGAGGGAAAGCGGCAGACTTTTCTTACCAACCATGCAGGTTTAGGCAAAAACAAAGAGTTAAGAGAGAAAATCATGGGCCTAGGGGCATACTTTCAGTTTCAGGTACCGATTTGGCACTCTTCTTGCTGGACTCGCCATCTTTCTGATGATGATGAACTTCTTTCTCTATCGGGTCCTCAATCTCAGAAGCAGCCTCACCCTTCTTCGCGTCCTCAGGAACACCATTCTGATGATTTTGATGAACTTCTTTCTTTTCCTCAACAACAGGAATCACCTGGCTTTCAGCAGCAGCAGCAGAAACAGCTGGGGCAGGGACAATTTCCAATGATGTCTCAATGGCACTAACTTTTGCTTCTTCTCCCATGATGTTTAATCCCAGGATTAAGAATCTAAGGATACAAGTGGGCAAAAGATGAAGTAGTGATGAATTATGATATATAGGGGAGGGATTGTTGGGGAGGAGGAGAATCCAAGAGTGGCAGCCAGGAGACAGCAAATCTCTCAGGAGAACTAAGAACAGAAGCGTTGGGAATGCCGCAGGATGGTGAGAAGTTAGGTGGAAAACTGTAGCAGAAGTTGAGATATGGACAAAAAAACAGACAACCTTTGTTTCTGTAGACTTTTGTTCTGTTTGAGTACTGTCTTTCGTGAAAGTAATTCAACACCTTTTTTGCTTTGTAAATGGTTCTTGTAGATTATGATTGGATCCTGTTACGATATATTGTCTAAGCATTTCTTGGGGAGGTGGTACTCTTACTATTAATCATCATTCGTCACCCCCAGCAAATATAGGAAATAACTTTATTGCTAAGTATAATGCAATACTATGGAATCCTTTCCTTTTCCGCCTTATTTCCTTTCCAAATTTGTTAATCATCCTGCAACAAATATTTCTTTTCCACCTCTTAAATAAGTTTTTACTACTATCCTATGACATTTTATCGTAGTTAACAGTAGTTAAACTTTCGTTGCGAGCGACTACAGATAGTGGACAAATGGGTGGCGAAGAATTGGGATTGTGGGGTAGGCAGGTTGGGAGTTGGGTTTGCAGGTCGAGTCCGAGCTCGAAAGGGTTGGATTTAGTGAAAGTGCAAGGTGGATATGTACGGAGTTGGGTTCGTAGTTTGTGGGTGCGTTTGTAAGGATTGAATCTGGTGAACATTTATGTATGGTACTTATTGGACTAGTGTAGTATTATTGTGCCTATTTTATAACTTGACTTAGCTCAAGTACCCATTTGACATTTCGACAAATTGTGACAAAAAAAGATTGTTGAATTACGAGTCACTTAGAGCGGTGTTAAAATTGTAAATTAGACCAACAATGTCATAGTTCAAGTGATTAAACTATTGAACTCGTTTGAACAAATCTATCTTTTTTAATTCTTTATAGAAGAAAAATGATAAGTTATAAGTATCGATTTTGTTACCAAACTTTGTAGTTTGGTTTTAGTGGCTATTTCGCCATTTGGCCCACTAATTTATTTGTATTGACAAATTCGGCTGATTTGATCCTTTCTTGGAGTAGGGTGCACCGATCAAAATTAGAATGAACCCTGAATTAACAGCCACCGTTGACAGCAAGCAAAGGGTTGTTTGTAGAAAGCCAGTATTTGGTTTCTTGTGAATTTGGAACCACATTTGCGTGGTAACGAATAAAATTCTTCCTTCGAAGCATTATGCCAAGTGGACGGATTGGGGACAGCAAACATAGTCCTGCTTGCATTCAGGGAAATGAGATGGCAATTTTATTCCATGTAATTAGGGTAGGAAGGATTGGGGAATTTGAGAGCAAATGCATTGGCAGCATCGACACCATGAAACGAATTGCAAACAACCAATTTCCAATTATAAGAGTCTCAACCCCTTTAACCTTTTGTGCGAATAGAACAACAAGGTGTTATTCCCCCCGTGCGAATAGAAAGTACAAGTTGTTAATTTATGAGAAGGATAACTTATGAGTCCGGATCCGGTTACTAAGGGGGTCCTTAGTCACTTGACTAAGCCCCTCTCAGCCTTTGGGTTGATCTGATGGTCCAGATAAATCTATTAATTATTATTAAATGAGAAGGGTAGTTTTGGCATTATTAATAAATTATTAACTTCTATTTTTTATTTTTTTATTTATTATTATTGAATTCTTTTTTTCCATCTGCAACACGTCTCTTCTCTTTCCCTTTTTTGCAATGTCCAGAGAGAGAGAGAAAGCCTGGCGGAGGAGGAGAGAGAGAAAGAGAAAGGCGGCGGCGCTACGCTGGAGGAGATCTCGATGGCAACGACGACAATGAAGGAGATCGGCGCCGACGACGGTGGAGAGAGGGAAAGGAGATCGCGATTTTTCCTCCATCCATCCTCTTCTACGTTGCCATTGCAGGCCATAGGAGAGAGAGAGAGAGAAGCAGCGGGGAGAGAAGGACGGCGACGATGGAAGAGAGGGGGCGACGGCGAGGAGATCTCAACGGCCCCAGCGACGATGGAGAGAGGGCAAGACGACTACGACGGAGGCGGTGGTAGAGAGAGAAAGTAGATCTGGCCGTTGTCAGGAAAACAGAGGAGAGAGAGAGACGATGGTGGAGGAGAGAGAGAGAGGGGCAATGGCAGAGAGAGCATCGATGGTGGAGGAAAGAGAAACGGCGCGATGATGGAGAGAGAGAGAGGTCGCAACGGCTGTAGAGAGAGTCGGCGGCGGCAACGGTGGAATACAATTTGTCATCTGAAGGAAGAACAATGGTTTGTAATGAAAGTGTTGTCAGTTTGTATCATTAGTACTTTTGTACATAATGTCAGTATGATTTGTATAGTTTGTATGTTTTGTAATATTAATTTGTATACTTTATATGTATTGATTTGTGATGCAAATCACGTCTGTTTGTATTGTAAGTACTAATGATTTGTATACTTTATATGTATTGATTTGTGATGCAAAAAACATTACAAACATGGTTGACAAAAATGACAAAAATGACAAAACTTACAAACAATACAAAAGAAACCAACAAACATTACAAAAGATATCGACAAACAGTACAAAGCATACTACACGTACAGAATATCACTACTTACAATTAGGGGTGGAAATCGGTACGGTATCAGTATCCCAATACCAAATACCGAAATACCGAATACCGAATTACACCCTAAAATCAATCCCAATCCCAATCCCTAAATAATTTCGGTATCCCAATCGGTACATCAGTATCCAAATCGGTATTATCGAATACATAATTAATTACCTTTGCAATTAATAATTAAATATATAAATTTGATTTTATTGTTTAATTTAGGGCATAGAGACTAAGCAAATAGTCTTGAGTTGCCTAGAGCTAACATCTCAAGTTCTTGTAATTGGTAATTTTAATTTTACGAATTTGAGGTTGAGAGACGACTAATATTAGTGTGAAATAGTGATGTAATGATCTATTTATAATTAAATGACACTTTTGGTGGTTGAGGGTCGCGTAGTAGTGAATGAGAGAGTCTAGTTGAGAGGATAAAATACACACTAGCTTATATTTCCGTATTGATCGGTATTTCGGTATATACCGATCCCAATCCCGTAATCCCTAATACCGAATAACAATTGAAATTCAATCCCAATCCCAATCCCACAAAATAATACGTGTATTCGGTAATACCAAATATAGACAAATTCGGTACGGTATTCGGTATATCCCAAATACCGGTACCAAACTTCCAGCCCTACTTACAATACAGATTGGTAAACTTGTATTACAAACAAATGAATACAAAGTATACAAATCATAACATAAAAGTATACAAACTAGAGCAACAAAAATTACAAATTACAATATATACAAAATAATCATACAAAGATTACAAACAATACAAAAGAAACCAACAAACATTACAAAATAACAAACATTACAAAAGAAACTGACAAACAGTACAAAACATACTACACATACAGAATATCACTACTTACAATACAGATTGGTAAACTTGTATTACAAACAAATAAATACAAAGTATACAAATCATAACATAAAAGTATACAAAGTTGAATAACAAAAATTACAAATTACAATATATACAAAATAGTCATACAAACATTACAAATGTAATAGAGAAAAATGACAAACAAGAATAATAAACAATACAAACCGAATCGATATAAAGATTACAAAACAGACTTATAAATATTACAAAATAGGTCGACATTACAAATCCAGCAATGTCGCCGGAAAATCATCGGTTGTCATCTCCGATCGCCGTTGTCGGAAATCTCTCTCTCTCTCTCTCTCTTGCAATTACTATATTGTCCTTCATTAAATTGGATTAATTTGAGCCATTGGATTTTAATGAGGTGGAAGGGCTAAGATTCACTTAGCCATGTGACTAAGGGACCCCCCCTTAGTCACCAGATCTTAGCCCATAACTTATGGTTATTTGATTTTTTCGTACGAAAAAAATTCCATTCTTTATATCAGAGAATATTACATAATATTTGGAAAGAGACTAACAAAGTTTGGGTGAAATAAAGTATGAGCTAATATAATGCCTTGTTCCATTCTCGTGTCTGTATTCGTTCGACATTCGGTTCCTACTTACACCACATTGATCCAGTTACATGTCGTTTAATTTTCATTTCCCATTTTACCACTAAAATGTCAAAATACCATAATAAATTCGCTAGTTTCACTTTCTCAATTTCATCAACACACATGTCACCACCTAAAAAAACACATACTAACTTTGATTTTTTTAAGGTTTAAGAAACTATAAATTCATATTAGTGGAGGTATAACTATATTGTGATCGGTCATACCATGGTTAACAGAAAATTCATATTAAATTGAAAGCAATGGCCCAGTAGTAAAATATTATATGCACTTCTGATTTCATCAAGCGATGAAACTTGTCTAGTAAGTCATTGAATTATCTTTAAGCCTTTTGAATTAATTTTCCAAAAGTAAACAAACAAATTAAGGTCGCACTCGCACACGATGATCACAATCAAATTTCATATTCATGAAACTGAACAGGTGTCCAACCCCACTAACTATATCCTCAGACCTCAATGTATTCGTATTAGGGAAATGAAACGCAATATTAAACATAATAAGACACATGATTGATGTTAAATAACTCAATATGGTAACATCAGTAAATAGAAATTAATATTTGAGGTTGGTCATATATGTTCATCATCTGCCAGCAACGTACGCCACGTCCACCGTATTTTGGCTGCATGGCGTATTTAATTTTTCATGTGTCTTTCCTGACGTAACATAAGATTGAATGCCCGCATCTCATGCGTACGTCTGTAACAGCTAGGGTGAAATTCGGTAAGGCATCGGTATTTCAATACCAAATACCGAAATCATAAATACCGAATTACACTCTAAAATCAATCCCTATCCCAATTCCTAAATATTTTGGTATCTCAATCGGTATTATCAAATACGAAATTAATTATCTTTGCAATTAATAATTTAAATATATAAATTAGATTTGATTGTTTAATTTAGGCCAAAGAGACTAAGCAAGAGTCTTGAGTTTGCCTAGAGCTAGGATATATATGGATAAGGAGAATGGAGGACATGTGACATCTCAAATTCTTTTCATTGGTAATCTTTAATTTGACGAATTGGAGGCTAAGAGACGACTAATACTAGTGTTTGCTTTTTGATGTTATGAAAATAACAAGAGAGTAGGCGAGAGACGAGAGTGACTTAAACTGTAAAGTTAAAATTGAGTTGGATGGAGGCTTCTAAGTTATGAAAGAGTGAGGAATAACCAAAGGTTGTGTGTTATATTTAATTTATTTTTAATTTTTGGTATTTTGGTATATACGATCTCAATCCTGAAT